ATAATGATAGCTAACATTTCTTGAGTGAGCAGTTATTCTGTGCCAAGTGGACATTATACATCACATATAAATTATAATGAATAAGAGTAACAATAATAGTAACAATTTAAAAAAAAAGAATACAGAATTGAGCTAGACTGCTTGAATTTGAGTCCTGGCTCTACCACTTACTAATGAATTATTTTGCCGCTTTATGACTCAGTTTCCCTACCTATAAGATGGGGATGATAATAATGGTCCCTCTCTCATAGAGGTGTTTAAATGAACTAATCTGGAAAATGATTAGAATAATGGCACAAAGTAAATCCATTTAAGTGTTTGACAGAAAATCAAGTAAAATAAAAGAGGGGAGGTAGAGAACCAAAGTATGCCACCTCAAAATATGCTACTTTGGCACAAGAACTTTGAGCTGGAGGCAAAGAAGAATCAGCAGATGCAGAAAGAAACCTTCCCAGAGCTTCCCTTATCTAGGAGCAGACATATCTAACAAGTGAAACTTCCCCAAATCCCCTCTCCTGGGAAAGTTTTCTGGCCAAGGTGGATCTGTACCGACAAACCTTACTTCATGAGAGCCCCCACATATTTACCTGCCCACAATTTGCCACTCTGGAAAACCTAAAACCTTTTGTCATGTGGTCATAGAACAGCCTGGAAAGGCTCAAAGATGCCAGCAACCAAACAGATTCCCCACAGGGAGCAGCAAACACAGGGCAGATGCTCTCCATCTTTTGGGGGGAATGACCATTTCTCAACATAAGAGAAAGCATAAAGTTCAAATGAACATCCTAAAAACCTTTCACTCTTCCTTATATGAGATAAATACACTTGGAGTCTTTCCACATGCTGACCAAGGGCACTTTCCTCATTAAAAAAAGAGATTTGCAAGAACTATTATAGCAGGCTAAATTTTTAGCAATCTCTCAGTCTAATACATATCTTAACAAAATTACATTTTGCTGAAATAAATGAATAAAATCACAGATTCTCTTCTACAGAAAAAGCTTTTCAGTGCAATTTCATCATTGTAAGATATGGAGAAATGCCTTATAAGTGCATAATTTTCAGTATCTTCTTAGCTCTATGAGCTACCGTGTACTGCTAAGAAAGGAGAAGGTGCTGTTTTATTCTGGAAAAATAAGACTTCTCAAGGTCAAGATAGGAAGCTAACACTCAGAGCTATGATGCCACGCACCTTACCAGCTTCCTCAAGCAGCTATCGCCATAAACCTACAAGGACATCATGTGCCGAGATGGGCTTGGTCTCTTCAGCCCAATAGACATCTACCAGAAATAACAGTCAGTACCCAGCATATCACTACAGTGATATCACATATATGTGTTAGTAAAACACAGATATTCAGACTGTATTAATTCAAAATGTAGAATAATGTTCTTCAATCTTACACATTAAAAACTCTAAATTATTCTTTATCCTGCAAAATTTTCAGCAATGAGTTCAAATACTGGCATTTAAAATTCAGTCCTTTTTTACAACTATGTAAGACTTTAAGAATTTTTCTTTTAACCTGGAAATTTTAAAACTCTGTGAAAATTAGGCAAATCAGACTATTCATGAATTATAATTTTCAACTGCTTTTCAAAGTAAGTTTTACTTCAGAACATGTACTTAAACTTCTGTATCATTACTTTAGTAATTAAATTTATTTTCTTTAAAAATTCTCCTGCTTTCTATTAAGTGCACCTAGCTCTGTAGCCTGAACAAAGAAGATTTTAATACTCCTGTACAGGCATATATGTATACATAGTTTAGTATAGTATCAAGAAATGTAGTGCCCTCCTCAATGGGATATATTCTTTTAAAAGTTGTAACATATTATTTGAATTGTTTATAAAATATGACACAAAGACAAATATTACATTATTTACTGATACTGTTGGACTAAAACAATACTAATCCTGAGACGTTCTTGTCCAAATAAATCTAATGAAGTGAAATATTGACAAATATTGCGTGTATTGAACGGTCTATCTGAACACTGTATGTATGGAGTGCTCCAACTAAAGACTTCAGTGAAAATTTTCCATATATGTATTTAAGTATTTAGGGTTCTTATACAAGTGCATAAAAACTACAACCAAAAGCAACAGTAAAATATATGCAGAAGAGATTAAAAGCAAGTAAAACAAACAGTGATTATATGAGGATAGAATGCTATTCTCCCTCTGTTTTCCATTTTTGTAATGTTTTGCTTAAATTTTGGAAAAGAATATATATTTTCAAGCAACAGTCTCTCGCATCAAGAAAGGAATTACAGGGGCAGTGGCCTATCCTCAAATGACAAACCAACACCCTTGGGCGCACAGTCATACTAAAGCTGGCAAGATCTCACATTCCTCAGCATACAATGGATCTTTCACCAATACTGGAAACTGCCTTTGTGAGAATATTTGCTAAGAATGGATGGAATTCTCCGTGTTGCAAGCACCCATTGAATTATTTAAAAGAACAATGAATGAACGACTAGTTAGAATTGTTTCTTGAGCTCAGAGAAATTTATATCACAAAAGAAAAAACCTAAATCTAGCATTTTCTCTAGAGCAGTTAGGAAGAACAGATTAAGGTGCTAACTGTGGGCACCAGTTCCCAAATGCTTTGCTATCAAAACTGTCAGAGTTACCTTCTCCTTGACCAATAATTTTGAGTCCTTCTTGACTCATAAATATTGTTTGCATGTTTGTTTATATGTACTTTGCTCCACAAAAGAAAATTTAACCAACAATGAAATGAAACTTGGCCCTCAATGCCTTCCTTAAAAGAGATGTACTTTTATTTGGGGGGGGGGCAGGGTGGTTATTTAGGTTTTTTATATTACCTATTTATTTAAGTAATCTCTATGCCCAACATGGGGCTCCAACTCTGCACTGACAAAAAGGATAATACAGTTACATTACTGCCAGTGTCCTAGCATTGGTTACACAGATTTTGTTTTGTGATTTTGGTTTGGTGGCAGAGTCCCAGGTGATTATGCCACCGTTTTAAAACAGATGGATGAAGGCATGTCTGCATGGTTCAGTTGGTTAAGCACTCGGCTTCAGCTCAGGTCACAATACCATGGTTCCTGAGTTCCAGCCCGGCATAGGGCTCTCTGCTGTCAGCATGGAGCCTGCTTCAGATCCTCTGTCCCTCACTCTCTTTGCCACTCCCCTGCTAGTGCTCGCTCTCTCTCTCTCTCTCTCTCTCTCTCTCTTCCCACCTCCCTCTCTCACTCTCTGTCTCTGAAAATTAAATAAGCATTTTAGGGGCACCTGGGTGGCTCAGTCCATCAAGCCTCTGACTTTGGCTCAGGTCATGATCTTGTGGTTCATGATTTGAGCCCCGCGTTGGGCTCTGTACTGACAGCTCAGAGTCTGGAACCTGTTTCAGATTCTGTGTCTCCCTCTCTCTCTTCCCATCCCCCACTCATGCTCTGTGTCTTTCTCTGTCAAAAATAAACATTAAAAATTTTTGATAAACATTTTAAATTAATTAATTAGTTAAATGGATGGATGAATGGATGGATGGATGGATGGATGGCAGGTAACAGATAGATAGGTAGATTGAGTAAAACAAGCATGGACCAATGATGAGTGTGTTATGAACCAAAAATCACTAAACCTGAGATGAAATGACATGAAACAATCCGACATGATATGAAAACAAAATTTTTTTACAGCATGTAACTACAATCTCTGAACCAACTCAAGTCACCCATCCAGATTTCATAATTTTCTGCTTCTACTTCCCTAAAAACTTTCAATTGTGCTGCATTAAGTAACCTGTTCTCAATGGATAGGAGACCTTGTAACATCACCAATGGACCTTCTGCTCAGAGAGTAGAAGCTTCAGGAAAGGGGGAAAAAGTGGTACAGAGGAAAATGCTGCTGTCTCTCTGGGATGGGGCTGGCAATGTCCACAAGCCTCTGAATAGGCAATTGGTGATTCTTATTCACACAGTCAATACTTATTAAATGCCAACTATATATCAAATGCCATGAAAAGCACTGGAACCCTTCAGACTTATGATTAGGACAGTCCTAGCAGATACTGAGTCCAACCCATCACCTTCCAGATGGCCTAGAATCAACATATCCTCAGGTCTACGAATCAATATAGTACAATCACTGTGGAAAACAGTATGGAGGCTCCTCAAAAAATTAAAACTAGAAACACCATATGATTCAATAATTCCACTCTTGAGTATATACCCAAAACCAAAAACACTAATTCAAAAAGATACATGCATCCCTATGTTTATTGCAGCATTATTCACAATAGCCAAAACATGGAAGCAAGCTAAGTGTCCATCAGTAGACAAATGAATAAGGAAGACTGGTATATCTACAATAGAATATTACACAGGCATTTTAAAAAAGGATGAGATTGTGCCATTTCATACAACATGGATGGACTTGCAGGGTATAATGCTAAGTGACATAAGTCAGACAGAAATAAATACTCGTTCTACTACTCATAAGGAGAATCAGAAACAAAAAGCAGAATCAGACCTACAAATAGAGATAAAAATGATGATTGCCAGAAGGAAGAGTTGTAGGGGGTTGGGCAAAATGGGTGAAGGTAAGTAGGAGATACAGGCTTCCAGTAAAAGAATGAATAAGTCAGGGAATAAGAGGTACTGCATAAGGAATACAGTCAATGGTATTATAATAGCGATGTACTGGGTCAGACAGTAGCCACAGCTACGTGGTTAACATAGCATAAAGTGTAAATGTGTCAAGTCACTATGTTGTACATAGGAAACTAATGTACCACTGTATGCCGAACTATTCTCAAAAAAAAAAAAAAAAAAGAAACCAAGATAACTTTCAGGTGTTTTACTTGGCTCATACCTACACAAGCAGATGCTGAAGCAGCTCACTTATAAAGTAAGGTTATCATTGCTCCCCAAAGTTAAAATCTCTGTTACAAGAACTGGGGATGGGGAGAAGATTGCTCCTTCAACAGCTGAGATTTCACACGGATGTGTCGCAGTTCGTTTTACCTGCTATCTCCATAAGTGGGTTTATGTGATCTCCTTCGGCGAGTTTCACAAATCCAACCTGATTTCCAAAAGTGTCAATCCCTTGGAAGGGCAAAATCAACTGTTTTCCTTGGAGGATTTCTTCTATGACAGGTTTTAATTCCAAAAGAGCACCAATGCCACTGGTAAGAGATAGTATAATTTTCAGTAATGTATTAAGTAATAAAATACACAAAACCAAACACAAAATAATCCATTTTTAGAAAGATAAATTAATTTTGATATTTGTTCTAATTACTTTAAAGCTCAAAAATAACTTCAAAGTCTAATTGGTAAGTTTAAAATAAAAATAATATTAAAAAACTATGGAAGAAGTGAATTAAATCTTTACTTAATTATAATTTATATTAAAGACATGAAAGAAAATACTATTTTATTGTTCACCAAGAAGTTTTTTTTTTTAATTTTTTTTAATGTTTATTTATATTTGAGAGACAGACAGACCATGAACAGGGGAGAGGCAGAGAGAGAGGGAGACACAGAATGCAAAGCAGGCTCCAGGCTCTGAGCTGTCAGCACAGAGCCCAACGCAGGGCTCAGACCCACAAACTGCGAGATCATGATCTGAGCCGAAGTCAGACGCTTAAGCAACTAAGCCAACCAGGCGCCCCAAGAAGTTTTTAATCAAGGAAACACTGCAGAGATAACTCAAAAACATTACTGATAATATATTCCCAAAAGCCTAACACCACAAGAGCTTATATTAGATTATATGAAAAGTTCTAGATTCTTATTAAAAGTACTTATATAGTATTTACTACTTGCAAGGCACTCTACTAATAAACTTCATTATCTCTTAAACTATAATAGCCTCCATAATAAGATAATGCTATAAAGGATTAAACAAAAATAAAAGGTTATATTTGCCAACTACAACCACATAAGTTTATTTCTGTTTAACCTATGTCATCATACAGCTACTCTGTTTTTCAAGTGTTTTATTTTTCATTATAAAACAAGTGTTTATTAATGAATTAAACATCCTCAGGCTTGGAATATTTTGAAAATTAGGATGAATTATATTTCCATCTTAAAGAGAATTCTGGTGTAGGTATGTTGTTATGAGAAAAAAATTAAAATCTCACTAGAGGGCAGCAATTACTCCAAAAAGAAAGAAGCACATTCTTACATAATAGAGGGCTTTAAAACACCCTTCTGGTGAAACATCATTAATTTAAACTATCTTGATCATTCACTAGTAAGTATGAGTTAAATGTGTGAAGATAAATTTAAGTATTTTTCTAGTTCATTCATATTTCTAAATTAGCTTTCATGTAAAGTTTTTAACTGCATACATAACTTCATACAGAGTCTCAATTCTCATCTATGTCATAACATAATATGCTACTGTTCAAAATAGCTTTGGAAGAGGTGCCTGGGTGGCTCAGTTGGTTAAGCATCTGATTCTTGATTTCAGCTCAGGTCATGATCTCACGTTTCATGGGTCTGAGTCCCCCATCGGGCTCTACACTGGCAGTGCAGAGCCTATTTGAGATTCCCCAACCCCCCTCCTCTCACAAATAGATCAAAATTTTAAAAATAGCTTTGGAAATATCCACATTTCCCATCATACCTCCAAACCCACATCCTAAACCTTATCTTTCCTAACTGTATTTGTGTTTGTATACACAAAGACATGCCTAAAAGACACACTGTCCATACTTCTGCTGCAGCAAAGTCCTTCATGAAGTGCCATGAGTTAGAACACGTGAAAATAGAACAGCCACTTCGGGCTCATCTTTTATCAATTCGGGTAATTTAGGATATTCAGTTTAACTGTAACTATATACTATAGCAAGCCATGCTAAAGGTTAGGGCTTTTCAGAGAGCGTGAATTCTATATCCCATTTTTCATTAAAGAAATATAGATGCTCTAAACTCAGCCCATGTTTTCCAGTTCTCTAGGAGCATAAGTCAATAAATAAGTCCCAATGAGATGTCACTGATCACAGAGTGAGAAAAAGTCATAGTGTCTGTTTGTAAGTATCACTAACTTTCAAATTTTTTTAAATAGAATACCTTTTGAAGAGTGGTTTATGGAAAGACTTCTTTATGGTAAAATAAGTAAAAAGTATATGCATATAGAAAAAAGGACTCTGAAACTAGAGTTCGGACCAAAAGGAGTATAGGAAATCAAGGCAGAACAGCCATCTTTTCAACTCAACAGCTGGGTGTGGTTGGCCTTATGAAGTCTATGCCTTTCTTCTACACTGTAAGGGTAAAGGGCCTTAGGTGATATCTGAAGAAATTCATGATTTTTAAAAAAATTGAAGTAATCTCCTCATCCAACATGGGGCTCAAACTCACGACCCCAAGATCAAGAGTCACATGCTCTACCGATTAAGCCAGCCAGGCGCCCCAGAAGAAATTCATGAATTTAAGAAAATGCTTCTGCATACTCCACACCCAACCTATTGATCAATACATCATTAAACACCCAAAATATGACACTAGATTTTGAAAAGTAAGAACATAGACAAAGAAACTGACAACATAGATGTCAGCATATTATACAGTACAGGATGAAAAGTAAAATTAAAAGATTAGAGATTTACATAAACCTTCATATAAATAACGACTTACCGGAAAACCCAATTGGTTTCTCTCACACCATATAAGCAACCCAAAGTGAAGCACACCTTGATTCTGTTCCTCACTTAAAGTTGATACTGCCATAGACACCTTCCTGGTTTCCCAAACTAGTAGTAGATCTTTTCTCCTTTGGAATTCCATTAATATTTTCTATTTCGTGAAACACACTAGTTGTATATTTTTATATTATAGTTTTTGAGTTCATATGGTATCTAGTCAACTTTACTGTACGATGCATGAGCATAAGAGACATTCTTGATTCATCCTTATTTTCCCCAAAGCACTTAGTTCAGTATCTTGCACACGGCTGATAATCCTGGTTGAGTTATAAAACATCTTGTCTGTATAGCAAACCTTATTTATTTCTTAGATTTTTCATTATAGTTTAGTTAAGAGGTGGGGAGCCTGGGTAGCTCAGCTGGTTAAGCATCCGACTTTGGCTCAGGTCATGATCTCACAGTTCCTGAGTTCAAGCCCTGCATCAGGCTCTGTGCTGACAGCTCACAGCCTGGAGCCTGCTTCAGATTATGTGTCTCCCTCTCTATCTAACCCTCCTCTGCTTGCGCTCTGTCTCTCTGTCTTTGTCTCTCTCTCTCAGTAATAAATAATAAACATTTTTAAAAATTTAACTTAGTCAAGAGGAATTACTAAATTGCTACATCCAGTCATCATTTTCTAGTAGAGATAATACTTCTGGTATCACAAAGTTGTATGAGGATGACCCTTTAACTCTTCAAACACAAAGTAGCCTTGCTAAACATTTAGGGTTTTTTTTTTCCCCACAAAACTGAAAGTATTTGCAAAATGACATGGTAAAACACAGGGCTGAATAACGCAGAGTGTCACCATGTTCTGTACAGTAGTTCTTCAGTGAGTGACTCATGATTTAGGGCAAGAAAACGCTTCCTAGTTCAGGACTCTCCCATGCACTGCAGGTGGTTTAGCAACCCTCACTCCTGCCCATCAGATGCCCGCAGCACTCCTCAGTAATTGTGACTACCAAAAATACCCCCCAAATATTTCTAAAAGTCTTTAGGACTTACAGGCAGTCCCACCTCCACTGAGAAACGTGAACGGTACAATACATTGGGGGGCACACCTGCCCCTTCACCCTAACCCCACAGCACACCACTCCCACCACTGCTCATTGGGAAAGACCACCGAGATACAGGAGGCCATTCATACCAATGCAGCCTCATCCTTCCCACTGCTTTCATGCCCTGGTGCTCACCCTCTCCCTTCTGCCTCCATCTCACCACCTCTCTCTCCACCTCCCCATCTTTCACACACATGCCCCATGGAATAATAAGAGAACGACTAGTTCTGGCTTCTCTACTAACCAGTATTTGCTTAATTCCTAGGCTCTTGTTTCCTCGTATGTATAAGAGACATTTCTGTGCTGTGTCACAATACTGTTAAGAGAATAAAATACAATATTTGTATGGGAGAAGGAGGCTGAGGAGCAGGTCTGACATATACATGCCATATGCGATGGTCAAGACCTATTTCTGATGACAGAGATAAACCTAAACTGACTGATCAATGGGGACTCAATCTTTTCTGGTTTAAAAAGTCTCTCTGGGGTATAATTATTCCGTGAATCCACACCTCCTCTGAGGAGGTTTTCCCTTCCCTCTTCTCCTGCTTCTCAAGGAATCCAGCATACTCTTCTAATAGGACTGGGGAGAGTCTCTAGACTGCTTGCTGTTTGAGTCCTTAGAGATTCCCATTTTGGGGGACTGGTCTGGCCATATCCCCGGATGTCCCATCTCAGGGCACATGAGCGCATGCTTACTCTTTCTGGGCTTTGTACCAGCACGTACTGCTGAAGCACGAGATCCCTGCCAGAGTCTCTGATCAAGAAACATGGACGTTCAGCAATGCCCTTGTCTCTTTTCTTTCTGATCCACCAATTTTTTCCAAGTCCATCCACCATGGCACAAGAAAATTCTGGATCCATTTTTTTTTAATGTTTTTTATTTATTTTTAGGAGAGAGAGAGAGAGACAGTGTGAGCAGGGGAGGGTCAGAGAGAGAGGGAGTCACAGACTGAAACAGGCTCCAGGCTCTGAGCTGGCAGTCAGCACAGAGCCCGACGCGGGGCACGAACCCATGAACCGCGAGATCATGACCTAAGCGAAAGTCAGACGCTTAACCGACTAAGCCACCCAGGAGCCCCTAGAGCATGTGACTCTTGATCTCACGGTTGTAAGTTGAAGCCCTATCTTGGGCGTAAAGCTTACCTAAAAAATAAATAAATAGATAAAAATAAACAAAATGTTCTTTTGTTAGGCATCACGGACAGGGCAAAGTTGAAAATTTTACAAGAGCTGGGCAAAAAAGAAAAAGAATCCTGTGACTACTCATTGCTATAGCACAGTTTTATTTGCCCTTGTAATAAGTTTATTATTACTATTTTTTAATTCACTGAGTCCTGCAGATTTATAGTCAGGGTTATTACACACTGAGCCCAATACCTCTTTTCCGTGGTTTGCATACCTTCTTTGCCTTTTATTTGCAAATTTTATTTG